GGAAGAAAGTCGCAACAATTCTTTTATATATAAGGGCTGCGAAACTGTCAAGCTGTAGTCACACTTCTGTCAATTGTTTCATATTGTAATTATTAAATATACTATTTCAAACCTATTGCATTACTGGGATCAGACATTTCAAATAGTCTTATGCTACTTATTTAACATTAAAGTAGACTAAATTCAACAAAAAAGATTAACCATAGAATAAATAATATCTTCAAATAATAGAATTCTTGTAAAAATAATTTTCTTCGAAATAAAATGCTCCACTGGTTTTATTTCTTCTTGATAGGATATTCATTGCAAGTGTATTCTCATTCAGTGCCATTGTACTTGACATATTTAGTTTCAATAAATTTCTCTTCAGACTACAAATCCAAATCCATTGGAGCACGAGCATACAATACCTAGTAGAAAGCGAATTCGAATTATATAGGGAACTGTATTTCATGGAACAAGTACAAGACAGAATAATGATAATCAGATAGTTTTGATTATCGTTTAAATCATCTATATAAAATGTATAGTCAATAAAAACACGACATAAAATGATTAAATCACATTTTTGCAGATTTACGATCAACAAAAAGTACAAGATTCAAGGTGTGAGGATAGACAATCGTTTGATAGCTGATACGAATACTACTGTAAGCGCAATATCGCTTGAAATTAAGTCACGAGTAGATAAAGGCTATCCCGGTCCAGAACAAATAAGAAGCCGACCACTGTTTCTAAGGTACTATTAATAAACAAATCAATAATTATATATACAACAAACCTTAACGGTTTCAAGAGTACAAAGCACAACGCTTAACAGAAAGCAAGGTACCGCTATCAGAGCGGAATAACGTTAAAACCAAAATTGCGAACTAGCCGGAACCAGACGCGACCGTTCAGGTAAGCAGTCAGTAGAAGAATGAACCCAAGTAAGGCAGGTTAAGAGATAGACTGAACATAGGCGCAAAGATAGAATTTAATTGGCTACTTAACCAGGTAGGAAGATAGAGATGAAGATCAATAAATAAGATAAACTCGACAGAATAGTACAACGTAAGAAATGGGTCAGCAAAAATAACAATTCACAAAATACTCTGATTGGGTCATGAGTTCAACTGTCTGACTAAACGTATCGAGGTAAAAACACATACACACAGTTTATCAAATAAGGGGAGATAGACACGTTAGGCATGGATAATTGGGTTGCAACAACGCTAGGCTGATCTGGAACAGGTTGACTTGATTCAAGGATGGGAATTGAATTGATCTTACAACTACAGAAGAGTAAACAAGCGAATGGGATACGCTAAATAAGTTGACAAAAAAAACGATAGAATAATGATAAATTAATAACGATAATATAGTGCGAGTATAGAAGTACTGTTTAGTAAACAATTATCAGGTAATGGGGAATCTCAATAAAATAGAATCGAAAAGATTGTGTGAATACAGTAACAAGTTTGGTAAGCATTACATAAGCTTAAGGGTAACAGACTTTCTAAACAAGAAATAAGAGTTTATTTGTGAAACAAAGGTCGGAAGGAAAAGAAAGGAATCGGGATTTAAAATGTTAACTGTCAATGTTTGTATAGAGCTTTTGGGTGAAATTCTCTTCCGTAGAGAGGTCAGGACTTCTAGTATTGACTGATATCGCTTCGGCTGTTAGTCATACAACTAAACTGAAGCGGGCGTTTTCGGTATTATACTGTGTTCCCAGTAATCTATCCACAGGAGCTCGACCATATTTCCTAATATCGTGTACTTGTGCCACAAAACACCTGATATAAATCTGATTGGTCCTTACTAACTGTTTTATGCTAAGAGTAATTATTTAATGTCTTTTTCAATTCATACTTCAATTCTAATAAACATGTCTAACTCAGTTACTCGACATGTTATAGTCTGAACACAGGAAATCCATCTTTACATCCTACTGTATAGTAGAACAAAGTTTTCTTGAGTGGCTCACAGTCACAAAATACCCCAATGACAGAAAAGGACAGTTATTTGCGGTACTATTCAACAGTTATATATATAAGCGCAACATTACCTCAACAATGCTACTAGGCGACTATTCAGATTCAGTAGATTCTCGAGTACAAAGCAAGTACTATGCAACAGCATTACATGACCAAGATCAACCGTATGAAGTACCTGGGATTCAAGAAGAATATTTCCAACAATGTGGGATCAAAAACTTAATCCACAAAAATCACTCAGCAAACGATTTCCGTAGACAGTCCTAGGTCATTCACTCTAACAAAATCGCATCGCAAATCAACACATTATCAACATCGTTACACAACTACAAAGAAAAGCATAAGAGCTAAAGGTTAGACAATAACAAAGACAAATAATAAGGATTAAGTCAACAGATGATATGCAAAGGCCAGAACAGTGATATACAGTCTAGGAGAATAAAGTATAATAGAAAGTTAGTTGGATTATCTAAATAAGTAGCAATATCGTTCAGGAGGCATTTTCCAAAAAGTTATTTTCTTACACTTGAAGCTATTGACTGAAAACCAAGTCTCTTGTCTACTGTTCTAACATAGACGTTGAGTAAATGTTCTCAGTATGTGAGCTAACTCCTCAAACTCGAGACCTTATGTACACATGGATCAAGTTATCATTTCATTCACTAGTCGCTACTAAAACTGTTATGAGACAGTTTTACTTGGTTAATCAATCCTAGTGTAACAATATAGACTGGTGACTGATGTTGAAAATCTGAAGTTGTGTCTTAGCGGAGTTCGAAACATCCGTATTAAGGTGGTTGAATTAAACTAAATTTTGATTCAATTTTTTTCATCAACACTACTTAAATATTAAGACTATATTACCCAATATCAACTTTATTAAATTGATATCAGTTCAGTTTAGTAACATTTTTACTCTATTATAGCTGTACGAAATGTGGATTACAAGAAAAAGGAACTTGACTAGTCAGATAGAATAATGACTGAAGTGTATTGAGTAGCCTCCTATCACTAATTCAGAGGGTATCAGTATATGCCTTTCAGTAATTAAAATTACATTAGACATTCGGTTGGGCAATATCTCAGTCTCTTGTTGTTACTATTTTTGTCAGTGATGACTAGACCACAGGGTCGATAACTTGACAGCGAATAGCTAAGGTCACTTATCATAAGATACAGGTCTTATTTGATATTTCAATTCGAATCATTCCCTTGTATTTGACGAAGAAACTTTTCTATAATTCTCGGTAAACTGCCTATCATACAAATTTTATGTATTCAAGGGAGGAGAATATTACGTTGTTTTCGTTAAAAGAAAGCAGATATGCGCTACTAAATATCTTAGATTTAAAATCTAAAAAATGTATTTAGACATTTCAAATTCTCAAAATTCCTTTTTCTTGTTCGTTTCATTACCTTCTCATTCTATCCCCTCTCACTTTAATTTTTAAATAAAACAACTTTATGCAAATGTTTGTCTACAAATTATATTTAAAACAAATATATGAAATAAATTCGATATATAAATATGTGAAGGCAAAGTAAAGGAAGAGTCTGTCTACTATGAGAGGAGGAAGAGGTTAAATAAACGCTAAGAGCTAACTGCTTCATTATCAGTGATGACGTTAACAAAATACGGATTAAGTAGAGACAGAAGATAGAATGAAAAAGAAAAATCCCGTAGACAACAGTCACGAGCTTTGTTTTTGCGTGTTAGTTTGTGTGTGTGTGCGTTAAATACGACTTGAACAGCTTCACTAATGACTTCCTACTCATCCAACTAATCGGGCATTCTCACTGTTTGACTAATACAAAAAGAACTAAAGGGGATAAAAGAATAAATGGGTAAATTTCTATTCCAAAAAAAAAACATATTTTTTGGAAAAAAAATACGGAAGTTCTAAAGAGGGAGAGCTAAAACAGCCTCTTTATTATTTACTAGAAGAGACATTTTAGAAAAGATTCAATGGGATTAATCTGTCTGGTGTGTATCAAGAGAAATAAAAATGATGAAATAAATAATTTCAATATTTTAGTCTTTTCTAACCCCGCCTAGTTTACCAGTTCAGTATTTTACTAGACTTTCCTAAACGCCGGAAAATGAGGAGGATGAGTAAAGGGCTATCCCGGAAAATTTAGTCAAATCGCTACACTAACTTCAAAGCACAGGAAAAAAATATGCATAAAATGAAGTTATTCCCCTCTGAAATTGCAGAGACAAGATGAAACGGGCTGGTAAAAGCCTTCAGGAAGCCATTGAGCCAATGTGTCTTCTACCGATGGAAGTGAAAACAAGCATGGGGATATAGCATTTTCTCACGATGTTCGAAGCTTACAAGGCTGCTAAGAATACAAACGATCACGTCGGTGGCACAGTGGTTAGGACTCTCGCCGACCATGCACATGGTCCGAGGTTCGATCCCCTGCCGACGCACACCTGATATCTATAGTCAGCATGCAAAATTTGGGCTACCGATATCCATGCTGAAAATTCCATACTTGTACCAAAAATGCTGTGTGGAATCAAGCTGTAAATAAAAAAAAAAATTAGAAAACCAGATCTCGATTCGGGAAGAGATCAACACAGATGAGACCAATAAAAGACAGTTGTTTGGTGTGTGTTATATAAGTACAGATTAATAGGAAGGGGCCGAAAGTTGAAATCAGCATTTAAAGTCTGTGGCTGCAAGGGTATATATATAACTGACGGAAAAATCGTTTGGTGAATCCCTCCTGAACGATATAATCGCAATATTTATACTTATTTGCACGTTTCAACTAACTTTGTAGTTATTATTAGCGGTAGTTCCTCAAATTTGCATTTGGTTTACGTTGTGACCATGAAATAATCTCATTGGACCATTTTTCATCCCACTGTCTAACATTGGGCCAACCAGTTAGAACAGTATATTGTCCGATGACCTAGCCGACTTTTAATGTAATTAAAAATGCATAAATATGATGCTATTTTTCCTAGTAAAATATTTTTTAATCACCTCCTTTGTCTTCTACCATTACAAGGGAACCTAATTAAAAAAGAGAAGAAACAAAAGAAAGGCTGAGCCTATCATTTCAATGGACTCTTGAATCAGCCACCATCCTCAACTCGTCCAGAGATACCACTAACAGCCATAGAACTGCCAATGGACACCGGTTCCCCAACAAAAGCAGAAATCTTGAGTGACAAAGCTACTAAAGGCCTGAGAAGCAGCTGGACTAGACGAATTTCCCCCAGGACTACTGAAAACAGATCTAGATACGTTAGCGAATACACTCACCACTGTTGCAGAAAGTTTGGAAGAAAGGAAAGGTGACTACCGATTACAGCTCATTCGTTAAATTGTCCATCCTATTTCGTAACTGTTATACCCTTATCAAATTGCTCGTATGCATTGATTGGTATTAACAACTATGTTTGTGACAACTCATCACATCTGTTACAACTTTCTTTCATGAAAAATTGTATATGAATGCGATTGTACAGCTAAAGACAAAAGATTTGTTGAAGCCATTCTGTTCTTTGAGTATTACTTGTTTTGTTCTTTTCATTAATGGGTGAATGAGGATCACCCATGAAAGAAGCATTGTGAACGAACAATTATTTTCAGTAACTTCTTCGGGCACTGTACGTATAATTCCAGTGTCCATCAACACGAATCAAAGTTATATCAGAAAGTGTATTACTGTACAAGTATGAGGTAAAATAATAGTCAGTGAGTTATGAATATCATTGAAATGCACTCAAAGTCATTAAGACTGTAAGATAAAATGTGAATAAACGATGAAATAAGTGATATACTAATGTATATATAATCAACAGAAATATAAGTTTGCTTGTTTTTCGGAGGGAAGGTGAGTTGTATTTATTCATGGGAGAGAAATATGAATGGTACAAAAATATTGACAAACAAATGAAGTACAATGAGCATAAGTTCGATGGATGGTCATAAGGAGAACTGTAATCAAATAATAAAGACAAGATCAGCTTAGTGTAAATCCAAATGGTGAAAAATATTGGCATGAAGAGAAGAAAGGAGGACACAACAAGACACTAAAATATGTGATAGTTACGTTCCTGATGAACATATGGTAGGCCAGGGTGATCAGAGAGGATGAATGTTGCTTTGTGTACACAGACTAGCTTTATCCCTACTGATCCCCAAAACTTCATCTGTGAGTGGGAGGCGTAATCGAGTACCTGTGAGTAGATTGTTTGGCATTCGATATACGACTGTAAATGACTTTTCTATTCACTATCCACTAAGTGAGATAATATAGCACTATTTATCGGTTTGGTTACTCCTTTTTTCCAAAGCAAACTGATACACATTCACGACTGTGTAGAGATAAATTCCTCTGAGTACTGCCTATATAACTAACTGTGACGGAAAAATCGTTTGGCGAATCCCTCCTGAACGATATAATCGCAATATTTATACATATTTGTACGTTTTGATTAACTTTGTAGTTATTATTATTTTTTTCTAAAGACTGTATATCACCATTCTAACGTTTACATATTATCTGTTTAATCCCTAATTTTAATGCTTTTCTTTGTGGTTGTGGATACCCTGGTGGTGTTGTACGATACGATATTGTCCAAGTAAATGAAGGTCATTTCTGATCTTGGGCTGTCTGCGAGAAACGTTAACGTGTGGTTCTTGTGGATAGAGTTTTTGATCCCACCTTGTTGGGAATATTGTGATTGATTCTAAGTGCTCGTTTTGTACTTAGACTGAACTGTTTAGCTATCTGACGCCATTGTTGAGATGATTTTGAGTTTCTGATGTTCTTATTGTTTAGCAGAACCGCAAAATTATTCATCGTTCCCCTGTGTTTTCGTGGGTGGGCATGCCTCAAGGAAGTTTTGCCAGCTATACAGTAGAACGCAGAGATCCGTTTCCTACGTTCAGACAGTAATGAATCGGTTTTGATCGCTACATTAACTCTACATGAGCAGCTAAATCTCTCTCTCTCTCTACCCACACATATACACTGGCTTAGCCATCATTTGTAACTTATCTTTAACGCTCTGTGTATTAGTATAGGTCTCAGTCCTAGTTCATTTATTTGCGTCTAATATATTAGGCACGAACAACCATAGATAACAATTAGGCTTTAGGGTTTCTGAGTATTTACCATTGTTTACAAAAGTATATACAAACACCATGTACTCATACTACACATGTGTATCATTCTTGTTTAATTTAGATTCTCCCACAATATATCTGGGTATTGTTTACTGATAAGAGACACAATGGAGATATTTTCATGCAGTTGTGTTCTCTGAACCCCATAGTTAAATTGCGAAGCTTTCATAGCCCTACTTCAATTTGAAGTGAGATTTTAGATTTCTCCACGAGTTTATTAGTCATCTCCTCTGATGACTTTGAACGTGATCGCTCGCTTCTGTGTGTTTCCACACCCTCCATGCTACTTGTATTGGAACTGATTGTCTCCTTGACTTGGACTTTGACCCTATGTCTATGAGGTTTTCATCTTATCGGTTGGTAAATTTTGTCTATCTCGATGTACCTATTGATACCAGGCTTCTAAAAATTCTCTAGCATTCTTAGTGGCATCTTCTGTCTAATATTTGATCGTTGACCCAGCCGAATTGATGTCCGTGGTTATCTATATTGTAGTGATATGAAGAAGTGGATGTCATGTCATTTGACGGCTAGCTTATGTTCATGGATGCGAAGACGAAGGGGACGTCCACTTTGGCCAATGTAGTGTTTTTCGCAGTTGTTACAATTTGTTTTGTAGATGATGTTGGTTTTATCTTCTTTCGCTGTTGAGTCTTTTGATTGGTATACGGCTGGCTGAGTGAAGTGATTTTGTTGGTTTGTGTGCGACGTCAATTCCTAAAGGTTTGAAGAGTCTTGTAGTAATTTCTGAGATATCCTTTATATATGGTAAGGCGATTTTCTTTGTGCTTTCCTTGGGGGCCATTGGTTTGATAGGTTAGCTTGGGGGTATATGTATTTTAATGAAATTCCATGGATATCCATTCTTTTGGAAGACGTCCATGAGATATCTTTCTTCAATTTTCCTTAAGGTGGGAGTGCTGCAATAAGTCCTGGCCCTCTTGAATAGTGTTTGCATACAATTGTTTTTGTGTGTTTTTAGATTGTTGCTGTTGTAATTCAGTATTTGGTCTGTGTGAGCTAATTTTCTATAGACTTGAGTTTCTAATTCCCCTGTGGTTGTTCGCTTGACTAAGACGCCCGAAACTGGGATCTTGTTCTCGGATTCTTCTTCTCTTGTTAATTTGATGTCGTTGAAGACGTTCTTTATTCAACTCGTTTCTTTTAATTATTACAAATGTGTCGTCTACGTAACGTATCCAAATTCTGGGTTTGATCTTTGGTAGGATAATGTTTTCGAGTCTTTGCATCACTGCTTCTGCAATCAAACCTGATATTGGTGATCCCATGGGTATTCCTTTGAATTGTTTATATATTTGGCCATTGAATCGGAAGTGCGTTGTTAGGCATAGGCTCATGCATTCCATCCAACTTGTGTGTTGCATTTTTGATTGTTGTGGGATGTATTCGTCGTTGCTGAGTAATTGCTGTATGGTCTCTTTTGCTAGTTTCTGTCCGATTGAAGTAAATAATGCTGTGACGTCGAAGGATATCATTATTTATTGGTCATCTATTTGTATTCTACTGATCTTCTCCAGAAATTGGATAGCAGAATTGATGAAGTGATCACAAGATTCCGTTAGGTGTTTCAATTGTTCTTTGTCCATGAGTGCCTTCGTCATCAAATCCTACCGACCAGTGTCAGACACAAACCACCAGTCAAATGCTCGATGGGATGGAAGTTGGCCGAACAATGTGGAAGACAAATGGTCAAGTTAATGATTACAGAGGCACATTATCGGATCAGCAGATATCGATAAATAATAGATGCCCAAAAACAAAAACTAGAGAAAACCCTTAGCCAGGAACACCTGTCAATGATGATCACCGCAGTTATATTGTCAAGCAGAAGACATGGAGAACAAAGACGGAGAGTTCTCAGAACCAAGCTAGTCAATATTAAAAAACAACAACCAGACAATGCACCCATTGACTGCGTAGTCAACCTAACAGAGCAACCACTATCAAAAATAGAACAACGACTACTACAAAAAGACTTAAACTGCAACACTGGAGACGCTTCAAAAACTGATTTCTTCGCTTCCCTGGAGTTATTACTCGAATCATGAAACCTGAACGAGGAAACACAGGAAGAGATATGCCAAATAATCGTACCAATTGTCAAACAGAAAAAACACAAAAACGCACACAACTCAACTTTTAAGAACTAAAGGCCCTCAAAAAGCTCAAAAATAGGAAGGATATCGTCATTCTACCAGCTGACAAAAAAAGAACCACAGTAGTCACGGACAGAGAAGAATACATCAAGAAACCTAAGGAACTACTCAAAGACGAGGATATATATCAGCAAATCCCATACAAACGTTAGACAACTGCATCCAAAGAACCTTAAACAAGCCCAACAAAACTGGTCAGATCATAAAACAAGACCAATGGCAAATTAAATCCAGTGGACCAGTCCTACCACGATTCTACGGCAGACCCGAATTACACAAGCCAAAAATCCCATTACGACCAGCTGTATCACCCCGAGGAAGTACAACGTACAATTTATCCAAAGAATTATACAGAAAATTGAAACACATAAGTATAAAACTTTGGCACTGTGGTAGAGCATAACTCAAATATAGATAAGATTTTATTTTGATAAATCACACAGTGTTGTAAAGTAATATTACTGTACTGTCCTGACCCTATTAATGACAATCCTTATCCCAGCCATAAACCTAATCCTAATTATGACCGTAATCCCAACCCTAACCCCAATGCTTAACTTAACTCTAATCCTAACCCTAACGAGATATTAACACATTGTCCAAACAGTACTTAAAAACTTGATCTGAGTGCGTCGGTCCTTAGCTGGTGAATAGCCTTTATTTTTGAGCTATAATAATGACAGGTGTCGTTAGCCAGCGACTAGGATGCGTTCAAGGTCAATGAAGCGTTCGAACTCCCGGGACGCTATTGTTGAACTTCGCCAACAAATGAATAGGAAATAACAGATTCTGCCGCCCACACATGTTCACGTGTATAATTTCCAAAACTTCTACACAGTACTATTTCATTGAGAGCTGAAAACAACTATATGTATGTAACGTATGAAACAATTACAATGAAATGAATGAACTGACCTGGTGGTAAGAAATTTTGAAACAAACGAGATAATAAATTTTAACAGCAATGGAAACAAAAATGAGGTAAAACGCAACATTTGTGAACAGTGTGCATCAAGATAAGTTGCGAATAACTGCAAGATAAACATAACAGACAATGTGTAAACGAATGGTTAGGTAACGACAATGCAACATGGACGAAAATGACCTTCAGGTGTCTAACTACCCTATGACCCCGAACGTGTGGGATAATTTCAGTCCATGTTATGACTGTATTTATAGATTTCAAA